ATAGGGCTTTTGCCATAAAACGAAGCATCTTCTCTGTAGATTGGCTAACGGTATGTTTCAAATCACATTTCTCTAGTATTCTCCTTGATGACGTGATCATCCATACTAGGTTCTTGTCATCCAAGTTATAAGTCTTCCACTATGCAAACAATGATGATTCATTATGGCGAACCGAGCTTCCTTGTTGAAAAAACGACGAAATGATGCTGATTGGGTATACTAAGTCTGTCGTTCAGGGTCACCATACCAAGCTAATTGGCTGAGAGCACATATCGTCAAGCTGCTGGTAAAACCACTTAAAGCAATCAAAGGAGAGTAAAATGGACAAGGAAACCAACCCCAAGTGTTGTGGATTTACGATTGTCTAGAGGAATCATTATTTCGCATTCCAAAGATCTTTTCTAACGCTGCTCAAGCTGCTCCAGTTTCCAACATTCCCGTGGTGCACCCGTTGTCCAACGTAGCAGTCGCTGGCACTCATTCCTCCTCTCAGCCACGCAACACTTCTGAGTTGCATGCTTGCATAACATCATATCATTTTCTTCCTTTATTTCTTCCCCCTCTTCTCCTTCTAACAACACTCTCTTGGATACAAACGTATGCTCTCATCGCCTCAATCATTTCGTTGCTTAACACCTCAAGTAATAGGGTTAAAATAGATTCCCCCCACTACTTAAAATTCGAAGCTTCAAAGGAAAGAACAACCGTACAGTAAAGATAACCAAGCCTCTTACTATACCAATTTGGATATTGGCCATGACTTATTCTTAGATCCTGACTTCATACATTTTCGAGAGTCACGTCTTATCAAATTGTGAGGCGAAAATGGACTACCTTTTGCGTACTTCAATGTTAGTGAAAGACTCTTCCAAAGGAGTTTCGTTTCATGGTAAGCATAGTGACGCATAGATATACGTGAAAGTTTGTGACTTATTGAGGTGCGCATGGCGGCTGAATCAAGGCGTCAAAAATGCTCAACTTTAAGCCCTGTGACAAGTTGAAGGACGTCGGTAAGGCTTTCGGTGGAGTCACGAACAGCCTTCTCACATACGTCCTCTTCCACCACCTCTCCTTTACAATCAGCTTCGTTGTTGCTATTAGAAACGGCTACGGTTGCCATAGCGTGAGTGAGGAGGCGCTCTAGACATCCCAATCGTTGATTCTCATCTGTTGCACTGCCAGCTGGTAGATGAGCTTCGCCAGAGAGCAGACGAGTCTTCACCCTCTCCGTGACCCTGCTCCAATACGCCTCACAGGGGTTAAGGCGGTCAGTATGAAGTGGTGCCAGTCGCAGGCGTCGCGGCACTGGCGTTACGGCAGAGATGTTAGCGCCTTCAAAGGCATTGGAAACAAGCACCGCATCTGTCAGTAGTTCGGGTTGCAGGTGTTGGTGGATCCATACCTCCTGATCCTGTTTGGTATAAGGACCGCGTTTGAAGGAGGCGTGAAGGAGGCCAAGGTTCGATGAAATTGCTGCCAGGCTGTGAATGTGTAGTTCTTGCAACCGGGAAACAGATTTTCGTGTGTGAAGGTTGAAGATTGTTCCACCTGGAGGGCAGTTGTATGTAGCCTCATCATAACTTCCACTTGGAGGAACAAATTCGATATGAAGTAAATGAAGAGGAGACTACATGAGAAGCCTAAATATTGTGTCTTACGAAAGTTAGTCAGTAGACAATTTGCAAGAGGCAGTTAACGTCCATCTGAAACAGGTCGCTTACCGAGCCAAATGATTTCTTTTCCTTGTTGCATGTAGTTGGAGATGGCAGAGATGTATTGTCGTGTCTCCTCTCTAGCTTCCAGAGAAGTGTAGTCTGGAGGAGGGAGTATGCTGCGTGTGAACACCATGCCCCGAAGATATTTGTGGGCAGTTGATTGGGCAACTGTCACTGACATCTCGCCTTGCAGTCGGAGGCATATCTGTGCCAGTGTGATTTTCGGATCCGCCTCGTAGAGACTGCACACGAACTCCACCACTTTGGAATTTACCTGACTTGGTGTGGATCGCTCGCGTGATTTTGTGGCCATTGACTTCGCCCTCTGTAGTGGCCTTTTGTGAGCAGAGGCAACCCAATAGTAAGCGGATTGGTGCCGAATGCCAAGTTCTTTCGCTCTCTGAGACCAATTTTTGCCCTCTCTGGCCCAACTAAGGATTTCCTCTCTCACACACTTAGGGTACCGCCGGGTGGCCATCTGAGGAGGTGCGAGTTCCTCCTTCGTTCCTTGCTTGGGTGAAAATTTTCTTCACATCACTCTCTCGCTCGCCCACTTGCCTGTGCCTTTCGAGGTGGAATTGATTTTGCTCGTGCTCCGATTGGTAGGCCGTGATAGGCGTGGAGCTCTCCTCTCATTGGTTGGCACAGATGTGCGTGCGTATGTATGTGTATGCACGCGTGAAAACAACTGGATTCCATGTTCCGCAAGAAACGCATTTTGCCTGCTGGGTCGAAAAAACGATGAATTGGGCGAATCGTGAATGAAAAGTCGTGTTTTGTCTTGATATGCTTCGAATGCATGACATGGAAAGTGTTGGACACAAAACACTTAATTGGACTTATTTTGCACATAATGCTCAAAGATTATGAAGCTAAAATTTATTGAAACGCCAATTCACTAAACATTGGTCTGAAAATCACCCAGTTCCAAGAAGTTGAAAGCATTATTGCTTGAGTTTATTTTGAGAGATGACCACGATTAAAGATAATGCTTAAAGCCTACTTTCTATTCATGTTGTGCTGAGAAAGTAACGGTGGAAAGATTAGAATACCAGTGTGTACGTATCTGGCATCTGAATAACGTGAGCAATGAATAGTAAAAACTTTTTTTTTTCGGACAAAGTGGGGAAGGTGGACTTAATGCAGTTAGAAATTGCTGTGCTTCTTTTAGACCATCTGACTACTCAGCATCTTCTTCCGTACACTTTAACCCCCCTGCTCCCTCATAATCCAGCTTACTACTAAATTTTCCTGGTGCAGTTCATTGCTTAGTACACCG